CAATGCTTTCGTGTTTTGTCCCTTCTCAGATGACGTCCAATGAATTTCATATCAGGTCATTGTAACATACAATTCTTGACGATCAAATATATCTAAAGTATGATTATATTGCTAACAGTTGAGCTATCGCTTTCTTACCATCGGTTCTATCAGTACTTTGTCGTATTAAGATAAGAATGTTGGATGTTACAGGTGTGTGCTGGCAGCAGTTTCACCCGCCGTGGTGGTGCCATCGATGTTGCGAATATCCAAGTGGGGCTACGGTGTTAGGTCAGGTGTGCCTACAGTAGTCATTGCAGCGTCAGCGATTGATGATGTTTATGCGATCACTGGATTCGGCGCGTTCATTTCAGCGGCCTTCTCGAAAGGTTAATCGACATCACTGTGCATCAATAGATATTTATCTGAGAGCATTCACTCTATTGCTGGGTTATTAACGTTCATATCGCATTCAATTTTCCATCTAGATTGCTCATTTGCTCATCTTTTTTTTCATTTCGATTGCAACATTTCCACAAGATCGCTCATTACTTTCATTTATGATATTTTGACTATTCTTACACGATGGGTAAGAGTATCTCAGCTATTTGGGATATTTGTGATGTGCTGTAGAATTAAAAGTTGTTGCGTTAGAATACGGCAAAAAACAGTCGCATAACTGGATGAATATGGCAAAAAAAGGCAAAAATGCGAATCCAAATCAGTGATCTTGTTTGCAAATGCGTTTTTGCCATCCATATCTGACGGACGTTTCTACCAGAAGCGTTGTTGTGGTGCATTCCACCCGACGGACGAGCTATTTGCTTTTTTCTGTTTGCCAAAAATGCAGTGTTACTCTCCCAAAAATCTAATATTACTCCACTGAATTTGTCTACGGGTATTATATGGTGCATTAGTCTTGTTGTAAGGCAATATTACTCCGCTAATACAATGAATGATGTTACCAGGTGGTATCCTATGGACTATTACAAGAGCACCAGTCGAGGTGGGAATTGGCCTTATAATTGGCTCACTTGTCGGTTTGTATCCTTGTAATTTCTTCACGTTGATGTTCA